GCATGGCCTTCTAATAGTGCGTTTGAACTTTTGCTCAGACATGGCCTTATACAGGGGGAGGCCTTCTATTACAGGGCGGGGGGGGGGTTCGATGAAGAACCTAAGATCATCCAGTCCTGACATCTATATGGATGATTGAGTCAGCGATCGATGTATACCTTGCAGAATCTATGAGTGAGCATATTTAGAAAACTCTGACTAATTCGTGACAGAAAAAGCTGATAGGCGATGAAAAGTTTGAGTTTGTTATTGACTACAGCCTCCTTCATGGTTTCATATTTACTACTCGAAGCTTGAGAAGATTAAGGATCTTATCAATGATAGTTTTATGTGATTATGCAGCAAAGGTGTGCGTATTGATAAGATATTTGTTGCTGTGAAATAAGGTATGTTTTACTCAAAGATTCTGTCGAAAATCACTGTCAACAGAAAATCAGCGGAGCAGGATGTATTCAGAAAGTAAAGGGTGTACACACGACGAGGCTTGTAGTCCATACTATGGAGAAAAGACTTGTAAAACTTCATCATTGATTTTAGTGATCTTGAGGATGCGGGTGTGGGTGTGGGTGTCCGTGTGCGTGTCCATGTGGGTGTGGTGTGGGTGTGGTGTGGGTGTGGGTGTGGTGTGGGTGTGGGTGTGGTGTGGGTGTGGTGTGGGTGTGGTGTGGGTGTGGGTATGGGTGTGCGTGGGTGTCTGCATGTGAGTTTCCACTATATACACACACAACACCCACACCCACACCAAACCTGCAGAATAGTCGAAGTGTTATTGAATTAAACAAAGTAATGAATCTTCAAGAATGACGATATTAGAGGTCATGCAGGTCATACAACATATCTTGAGCTCATTAATGCTGCTAGAAAATGATATCGCATTGTCCACTAGACTTGTGACAACTCACAGTTCTGAGATTTGCCTATCTTTTGTAGAACTGGTTCTAATGAGTACTTGCTCCAGTCGTCAAAAAAGAACTAATTACCACATCCAGTTCTTTTCAAAAAAGACCTGTTGACCATATGCAGTTCAGTTCTTTGATCGGGAACTGTCACAAGTCTATATCTGATTGAATATATATTAAGTGCTAAATATTCTAAGACGAATACAATGAACGTTTTCAAACTTTACCTTTGTATTTCTGAAATCGAATACTACTCATAGTCATGCTTCGCACTGGTAAGAGGACACGTTACATATTAGTTTATCATTTGAGTATCCCTCCTTTTCTTTTATTTCTATGAATGTTATACTGAATAGGATTGATTTGGATTCAAAAATGAGTTTTGTTTCTCAATAATATTCTATTAACAATTTTACTTGCAAAACATCATTTGAAAAATTGATTCTCTAGTTGTTGACTGAGATATTCGAATATTTCGATTCTCGAGATCATGATTAAGCGTTTTGTAATCTTAATTTTCGCTTCAATACACTTCTTCAATATCTCAATCATCTTTGTCTTATTCTATCAATATCTAACTCGTTTGAAACTATTGATAACGAGATTTCATATCTTTATATTCGCATGTTGATTATTAGAAAATGATGGCCATATTCGGTTCAGTTATTTCACTAAAGTTCATCGTCTTATTTGGCATGATTTGTTGGACAGTTCATTTGAGACTTGACAAATGAATATTTGACCTCATTTACAATATCTGTCAATTATATCTTTAACTTTGTCTAGTATAAGTTTTTTAGATAATTTGAATCAAAGAATCTTTCTAATGATTTTCCATATTTAAAATATTGTTATCTACTTAGATTTGCAATGACACAGGCAAGCGAACAATGGACATAATCACCATCGTTACATATTTCAAAACTTAAATAAATACCTTTTTCTGTCTACAAAACTATTCTGTCATCGTGTTCTAAATGACATTTTCTTATGTTGTATTAGCTTTGAAGATGGATGTTGAATGAAACAATATTTCATATTGAATCACATGCGACGTAGTCTGAAACGATTGATAAATTTAGTTTTTATTTCCCATTTTCTTCATCTAACACAATCAAACAATCGAGTATTATGAATATTGTAGTCAAATAGAAGAAAAACTTTTAAAAAATCCATAATAATCGATATCAATCTAAAATATTACTAGCATGATGTTAGCATTCATTATACCAAGATTACTATAAGTATTTTTAAAAACTCTTTAAATAGATTTATACTCTTCTCTTCCGAGTTAATCTTTAAAAGAATAGATAAAATTTTTTGATTGAAATTCTTGCTGAATCAATTACTTTTACACTTATTATTGCAGATTATTTTATCATATTCAATAAATATGCAATCTGGGTCAATGGAGTAGTCAATAAGATTCTCTAATTATTATATACATTATGCCATTTTGGATAGTTTCAGTATATGTACTCTCAATCTGAATAATTTCACATTTATTGTTCGGCTTTTTATTGTGAAAATGACATATAGATAAATTCGACTTACCAATGTATTAATTCATCGTGAAATTAGTTTGATTTTCTGATCTAATCAGTTATGTATCAATCAAAGGTCAATTTATTACAAACTAAAAATTTTTGATGAGCATTCCATCAAAAAGTCACTAAGACTCAACATACTTATTGTTATTTCAGATGATTATGAGATAAATCTTTTAATTTAAGAGAAACCATTTTGTTTTCTTCTGAACTAACTCTACATATGATTCATAATGCATTTCAATTGACATATTTACATAGTAAAGTACTAATTAAAATATTTAAAATATCTAAATGATCGAGATTTATTTTAGTTCTCATAACAAAGAGAAACAATATTTTATAATTATTTTGAAAACATATTTAACGAGGAACACTTTTAAAAAATATTAAATTCTTTTGTTTCTATGATTATTCTAACATTTGTTGTCGAAATGAGAGAAAAAAGATACAAATGGGCTTATATAAAAAAGTTCGAAAACAAGATGACCATAACTTCAAGATGAAAAGGAGTCTTCAAGTATTCAAATGATCTTCATCATCATTATTTGCATGAAATCTCTGTTGCATATATGTTATATTCTCATTAATTCGATGATCATAATTCGAGATAATATTACAATGAAATAGTTACATAGAAATATATATACATATACAAAAATAATCTGTCTTATATTATCAACGGTAGAAGCAGCAATTTGTCAAACTTCACTGGTTTTCTGAGAGAGAGAGAGTATGGTTCCTTTTTTTCGTCCATTATGACAGTTGATAGAGTTTTATCATATTCCGTCTCAATACTTTGAGTGTTGAGCCAATAAGTGATGATGTGACCAATGTCCAGTTGAAATAATCACCAAATCGCAGTTAATTCAAAATAAAAATGTGATTTCGGCGTTTTATCTGGTATATGCTGACCCTATGGATATTCTATTGAAATAAGAAGACAGATAATTTTCAATTATTTCTTTACTTTCAAATTTTCTTAACTTGATGTTAGTGGACAAATTAAAGGAATAACATGAGAAGAGATCATAAATATCAGGTGCAACAAGGTAGATAAACCAAATAAACTTCCTAACTCTCTATTTTCTTGCCGTAATTGAATGAGATGACGGTGTCCCCAAATGCTCAGATCCAAATAAAAAATACTGACTATAATAAAACCAGATATGCATTCATAACTATGTTCACTCAGAAGTGATCTATTTTAATTTCTTCGAAATTTGTACGACTCATATTGCGATGTTACTAAAATTTGAAAGCCTTGAAAGTCACCACGAACAAGATCAACATAAGCGAAATGCTGTCACAAGTCATCAACCAGAAATACAGACTCCACTCAAAGTAGTACAACAGAAACAGAATTTTTACGTATATTTTATATTTTTTTAGCCTTACCTGCTTGTATTCCTTTGTTTTCTCATCATTTTTGACTATTGTTATTTTCGTCCTTATCGAAATTTTTATATCTTGTAGGTGTGGGTGTGAGTAGGTGTGTGTGTTCTTCTCTCTGTCAAAAATAACCCACACCCACACCCACACAACCACACCCCTTTTTTTTACAATTTTTTTAGTCAAAAATAGCACATTAGGTGGAGTTTATACTTGAGAATCATGACCTATCATAATGCATTTAATAGACCTAATCAAGATACACTAAATGATACTAAAATAGTGGGGTGTTCAATAGTGAAATATGTCGTTGTGAAGTGTTAGATCTAGTTCTTCAAAATTTGTCAAATTTTTAACATATGACCTGAGGGTGGGTTCAAAGATATCTTTATATCTCTTGAATGGCTTTACAGAAAGAGTTTAAAATTGGGATTTAAGAATAACTTTTCACGGGCTTTCGAATGATATAACTCACTCTGAAAACAAAAATTTTCGTATGCACGCATTGGTCGGTGCTGACATGGATCCTCTCTTAAGTAATTGATAGTCATAGGAAGTATTAAGCATTAGCGACAACGATAAGTTTTTTCAAAAATTGTAAAGAAAATCTAAAAAATGTGGGACGAACAAGTTCGTCTTGTTCTGTTCTGCTAAGTGTCAGGACAGGACGAAAATTGACTTGACGTTCTGTCCGACCGAGCAGGATAAGACAGAAGGACGATCATGTGTCCTGCCCTGTGCTCGTCTTTGATATACACCTTTTATGAAAGCTCGTATTCTTCATATTCATCACCAGGAATCAATGATGATTGATCTGTCGTCGATGTCCTTTGTTTTAATAATATTATTTTAGAAATTTCTAAAATCAGCTATAATTCGATTGACTACTTCGTCAAATGTCAAATCTTGAAGAACTTACATTGTTTCTTATGATAAAAAGATATGATTCGACTTATATCGATGGTAATCAATTATACGATCAAATTCTTTTTCATATGCCACGACTAAACAAATTTACTTTCAGTATAAATACTTTGGTTTGTAATAGATATGTCAGTATTATTCTTCCTTCGAACGATGATATTCAACGTAGTTTTATCGAAAGAAAATCTCAACAAGTTGGTTCATATGCTGATGATTATCTAATCAATTGTGCAGGTCGATGTCATATCTATTCACTTCCGTATCAATTCGATAAATTTCATCATTTGAACAATTCTTTTCAAGATCGGATATTTGAAAAAGTTGAATGGGTGAAAATGACTGATGCATAGGGGTCTACCAGCTCAAGTTCACGAACTCCGTTCGAATGAACTAAAGAACTGCTGAAATAGTTCTTTTGAAAAGAACTGTTCAAAAAGTTCAGTTCGTTCAAAAGAACTTTTCCAACAGATCAGTTCGTGGTAGTGAACGATTTGAACGGTTCATCAGTTCGGAACTAAAACTGAACTTGTCGACCTCTACTGATGCACGTCCTTTTGAACATGAATTTTTCAAAAGTATTTCCAAATCTTTTCCTTTTCTTCGACAATTGTCTGTGATAAATAATGAACAACAAAAAACTAAACAACATTCGTCTACACTCGTTATATTTCCTCATCTTCGTAGTCTTAACCTTACATTTGCACATATTGATTATGTTGAAGAATTTCTTCTAAAAAAAAATACTCATCTACCATGTTTACTCTATCTCAGAGTGAAATATCAATCACTCGTTATCATAACAAATCATTTTACCAATAATGCAGTTGAATTTAATTTTGCTCAGTTAAAATCTCTTTCTCTAGTTGAACCCTTTGTTCCTCCAGAAAATTTTCATTTGTATTTTCCTCAATTATAAATATTAATTTTCTAAACAAGAAAAATTTGTGACATACAGTGGGTACCAAAATTGATCAACAAGCATCTTTATTTTTTTTCTTTCGTCTATATCTCTATAACAAAGTGATATAAAGTCATCCAATTTTTACTAATTTGTTGTCTATGACCTCTAGTATATATGCAAAAAATTTCAACTCACAATTTTCATTTATTCGTTTTTCATTAAAAAAATAACAAAAATACACGATTTTTCATCGTACCAAAATTGTTCAACAAGTAAAGCACGATAATTTTTTCATACAGAAAATATGTTTTCTCAAAGTTTCAATATTTGGTTGGATATCCTTTCATACGATAACACTCGTACAAACGACTTGGAACTGATTCAACCAGTTTCTTGGTAACATCCAATCCAATTCCTTCCCACTCTGCCTGAAGTGTTTGTCGTAGTTGATCTTGGTTCTTTGGTTGATGTTTTTTCATACGACGTTCAAGTTCATCCCAAAGATGTTCAATCGGATTCACATCCGGTGAAAATGGTGGCCAGAACAACCGTTCAATGCCTTTTTTACGGAACCAATTGTTCACAACATGAGATGTATGTTTCGGATCATTGTCCTGTTGGAACACCATTTGATTTCCTAAATTCAAATTTTTGGCAGATTGCAACAAATTTTTTTTCCAAGATATCTTTGTACATTTCACCCGTCATATTACCATCAATAAAAGCCAGATTTCCCACTCCATTTCAAGCAAAACATCCCCAAACTTTCACATTACCTCCTCCATGTTTTACTGTTAGCACTGTACATGCTGGATTAAACTCTTCTTTCGGTGACCGCCATACCATTACCTTTCCATCACTGCCAAACAAATTGAATTTTGATTCGTCGGACCATAAAACAGTTTTCCAGAATTCCATGTCCTTGTCTTCATGCATTTTGACATATTTTAAACGTTTAAGTCGGTTTGCCTTGTTCACATATGGTTTTTTCCTTGCAACACGGCCATAAAATCCAATTTCATGAAGACGACGACGGACTGTTTGATTGGATATTAATACACCAAGTTCTTGCTCAATTTCTTGTCGTACAGTTGGTGCCGAGTTTCGCCGATCCACTTTAATTTTGCGTTGAATAGCTTTGTCAACACGTATTGTTGTTTTTCGTTTTCGCCCACGACCCAAAATATTTCCGATGCATTTGGTTTTTTTGTATTTCACAATTATGGAATGAATCGTATTTCTTGAGCACAACATTTTTGTAGCTATGTCATGTTCAGAATCCCCATTCAGAAAATGTTTTACAATGGTTTCTCGAAATTCGTTAGAGTGCTCTTTTCTTGTAGGAGCCATACCGTTGTACGAGTTTATAAAAGAAGGAAAATAGTTTTAATTGAATGAAAAACGTTTATTAGATATATGAAATAATGTCTATTAGTCAACTGGACGGAAAAAAATATATATATATATAAGTATAGAAGTACTAATTTGTCCTTTCCTGTTCTTGTTGAACAATTTTGGTACGATGAAAAATCGTGTATTTTTGTCATTTTTTTAATGAAAAACGAATAAATGAAAATTTTGAGTTGAAATTTTTTGTATATATACTAGAGGTCATAGACAACAAATTAGTAAAAATTGGATAACTTTGTATCACTTTGTTATAGAGATATAGACGAACGAAAAAAAATAAAGATGCTTGTTGATCAATTTTGGTACCCACTGTATGTTTCATATATGTTTCATATTCTTTAGTGGATCTATTCTGCATGAAAACTTGCTCGTTTCGAGGAGCTGAACCTCGATCTAACATAGAAGATCTATTCTGTGGAAGAGATGAACCTCAAGCAAGATATGCATTAGTTCCATGTGGCAATCTTTTTTGTTCATGTTGTCTTTCAGTACATACTTACAAGAAAAGTCAACCATGGCCTATCGTTGATTTTACTTCAAGTTCAAAACATCGATTTCTCAATGGTTATACTTCCTATCTCAATTGTCCAGCAGTATGTTGTTTATCGAACATTTCATTTTCATCAATGTACTCTTTTGTTGAAATTTAGACATGTACTACATCGAATGTAATTTATGCCATGACATTTCCATGTGGTCATTATGATTATGTTGATTCAACAGCAAAAACATTGGCTGATGCTATGGCTTGTAAGTATAAATCCTCTTACGATAGTCATGGGCATGTCTTTATTTCTCTTCTTCTTCTTCTTCTTATGATATAGATCATCGAGAACATGGCAACCGTATTATACATGAAAAAATGACTTGTGATCCTCTATTTCGAGGATCACAAATCGATCCTGACGAGAGAGAGTAATGAAATACATAGGATCATTCCTTTGACTATGCCATATATTCTCTGTTTCTTTCTGTCTTCATTGTTGTAGGAAAGAAATGGCTAATCAGATGCGTCTCTATCAACATTCAGCTCGATGTCCAGCAGCACTTCGCTCATTTCTCGATTGCAATCCCATGTATTGGTGTTTTATTCCTCAACCATGGAACGAAGTATTGGCAGAAAATGTTGCTTATTTTCCAAATGCTTTCACTACAGATCCCAACCTGGCTGCTATGATGGCAACGACTGCCATAGACAATCGTAGAGTAGCTTATTATCTAGACAATGTACCATTACCACCAGCGGCCTATGCCTTCTCATATCCACAGATACAAAAACAGCGTTTATTTTTCGAAGAATTTGTTGCTTACTCTATTCATCAGCGACCTTATACCGGCTTGGACTTGTATAAGATGGCAATCATTGCTGTTCGTAAGTAAACCTATCTTTATCAACTAACATCATCATCTTTATCACTATCGATTTTTCTTTTTCATTGATTTAGTACCAGATGATTGTTCGATTATATTACGATACATTATCGAAACATTGTTTATTATTCATGGTGAAACTAAATTGAATATGATTTGCCCGCTTGGTGGTGATGCTGAAAAACGCTATGGTCGCCCCTATGATCTTGTTTGGTGTGCTAATTTGAATCATTCATCGACGTGAACTATAATATCGACTCAATGACATATGAAAGTGATAAAATCACTATTATTTATAGAATATAAACAACATTAATCATTTCATAGATAATAATTACTCGTTAGTCTTTGTAGTGTGTCTGTGAAATAGTCAACTCGAAAATAAATGAATATTTGTTGTGCACTTTAGCTCATATCATAATCATATACTATTCTATTTGAGATTAGTAATATTCACGAAATAGACAGCGTCGATTCTATGCTCATCTGAACAGTCCAATGATAGACATGTGCTAAACCATGATTCCTTATTAAAAAACCACCAACAAATTCTCACATATTTGATTGATACACAACTGGACCATAAGAAAACAACTCGAATGGAACGATACATTAAACAATATAATCAAAACTTCACTTGATCGTCTAACCATCAACTATAAATATTAAAATACAATTCTATTAATAACAATATGCAGGACCTACACGATTCTGTAAGTAAACCTCACAATCTAACAGAAAAACATTTTAGACTGAATTATCACTCATCCTTTTCAACTGTTTTAGCAATTTAGAATAACTCAGTTGCTATTTTTCATGCAGTGCTTCATTTCGATTCAAATGCAACATCAATTAGTGAGATGTTCGTCCAATACTTTTCTCCGTTAGTAACATCGATCTCATGAAACTACTAGTCTTATCAACCACAGTAAAACATACCAAAAGAAAAGAAAAAATGACCTATTAAGTGATAATCCATCATTCATTCCTCTATAACATCAGTCACAACTATCTCAGAACCGACTCATTAAAATCTGTGCCTCAGATTAACAATTTATTTGCTAACAACAATTCGATCGCTCAACATTGACACCACACTGTCCATAAACCATGAGCAACCACTACGATATTTAACTGAGCAAAACCATCGAATGATCTCCATATGACTTCCATGCAAAACTCTAGCGGGTGGACTTCACTATCATCCTAACTCATGTATCTGATACCAAAAATCTTATTATACGTCTTTCACATCTAAGAATATCTTGTTCACATGCGAACGACTCTGAGAACAAAACAATCATATCTACTTGCATTACACCACTTCGGCTTCTCATCGTCCATTTATAACGATCTAACAACAGACAACATTACACCCAAAACATAACTAAAAAAGAACCCGACATATGAACCCATCTGAATAAGATAATTGAATGATAAACCACTGTTTTCTCAAAAACCATCTCAATCTAATACAAATCTATTCAAACTCACATAAATATCCGAATTCCTGAAACCCATTCAGTACCAACATCCCTACTCCCTACTGAATGCCTGAATACAACTTCACGCAACAATTATGCTACTATCCACTCAATCGGATTTCACGTCAAATCGAAATACTTGAAGTATCTTGGTAACTCTTCACAATCTTGACACGATTCTTTTTCGATTTTCTCGTCAAAAACAATTTTAGTATTTCGTATTCATCTTTGGATCATTTGTACTGATACTCTCGCCACTTAATAAGATTTATCATCAAATCAAAATACTTCAACTATCGTGGTAACTCTTAACACGCATATCCACTGGAAAAGATTGTTTTCAGTAAGATCGAAATACCCTCGGTATTATGATAGCCATACACATCCATGAAATATATTCAGATAAAATGGCTCGAACGAACGTCAACTCCTCTGGCAAGCAGTGATATTCTTCTCGATAAACGACAACCTCTTCATCTGCTGACTTTATCGAAAAGTGAACAAAACAAAAAGAGTTCGTATTACTTGATTTGTAATTTTCTCTTTTCGTCAGTGATAATATCTTATTCTTATTACTATTTTTTCTGTATGACACGATACTATGGACCATCTTTAACAAAATAACATCGGTCAATACTACATGGATCAATGAACATTGTTCGTTTTCAATTTTTTACTCGTAGAAGTAGTTCGTTTGCAGTAGAATTGTATTAGTATAAAATAGATGATTTAAAAAATACAAACGTTTTTCGGATACTCTATCATATAAGCTTATATTGATTGGTTTCGTTTTGTTTTTAGATAAATTTCTATTAATAGACATTGTTTTCATAGGAGTACGATGACTGACAAGCGATATTCCAATGATCAAGCTCATTGGTGCAGTCAACTTTCGGCTAGTCAAGTACGCACACCACCCAACATCTCGCGTCCTCTGTCCCAACAACAACAACCACAAATAGTGACGACGAAGCAAAAGAAGAAGAAAAGTCGTGGTGATCGAGCGGAACAAAATTTTCAACGAAGATTGCGTCAACGAAACTTGGATGAAGAAACCAGGGTATTATTAGTACAAGCTAGAGTTGAAAGACAACGAAAACAACAACAACAAACTGTGCTTGATACTGCAATGGAAGTAAACGAAATTGGTAATCAAATGATCAACATGACACAGGATAAACAAATGATGGTAAGAACATTTATCAGAAGATAAAAACTATTTGTATCAATGATTTCTTTTGTTTTCTAATGATTAGGAAATTCCATTAAATGACATGATTCCTAAGTCAAATTCAAAGAAGCGTAAACGCAACACAGCGACGAAAACTGACAGGCACTTAAGTCAATCTTTGAGTCGATTGTCGATTTCACAAGGATGTTCAAAGAAGACGAAGAAAAATGTTCCATCAAACAATGTTTTAACAAAAATGATCGATGAACTGAATGGTCAATCAAAAATATCAACAAAAAATTGCAAGTCTGATTTCGTGCCTCAATATTTGAAAGTATCCAATCGGAAATTTAAAGAAATGTTATCAAAAGCAGTTCATGATGGTCATAAAATTTATGAATGGTTAGACAGTGATGAAAAATTAAAATCAACTCGTGAATTAGCACATCTTTTTAATTTGATTTATTATTTAAAATTACAGCAACAATTATGGCAAGATTATTTTGATATCGGTATGAACGATGGTGTTTGGGCTCCACGAGTATCGAAATCAAAAGCTAAGGAACATAATACCTGTCTATCATATGGTCGATCGGAGAAATTTGTTGAACAACGTCAAAAAACAATTCAACATCAATTAAATCGCACTGATCGTGAATTACAACAATATCTCGCTCAACTACCAGAATGGACAGAAAAAGTTCAACCTCCCATTGATTCAACATTTCTCTCAAATGCCATTCAAGCAATGGTAAAAAATGGTCTCTATCGCTTAAATGCTCAATTCAAACACAAACAAGCCATGTTAAAATTCGATGCTGATGATCATCGCTTGATTGCGGCCGTCTATGCATTGAAACCGATTGAAGAACAGGTCTGTCTATAGAATAGATTGATTATCTTCAATAGACATAAAAGAAATTGATTGTTTAACATCTTTAGATTGCACTGATTAAAATATATTGGCAAGCCGTTGCAGATGAACAGAAAGCACTCGAAGAAATGGAAGTTCTTCGAAAACGAGTTTCATCAAGGCGACTTTCTCAATCTTTTGACAAAGTTCTTGATCAGTCGATTGGTAATATTCAAACAATGCTCTCGCGTCCGATTCTACATAAAGATCAACGTGCTAGTATGGCATCACGTTGTTCAAAAACAACTACCCAATATAAGTTTNGCTATGGAATCTCGTGTAGAAAATATGAAAAACGTGCTCAAGAATTACTTCAATATAAATTGATGTCTTTTTTCGAACAGGCCCCGGCGGTACACAACAACGAAGGCAACGTATCCGTCGGAGCAATCTAAGCATTTATACAAACATTACTGCCTCATCACATTTTATCGAAGCTAATTTGAATCTATCACCTGCACAAATGTCGATGTTTATCAAAGGTCTCAAATATATTCCACCATGTCAAAGTCGATTCTCACGTCAGTCTGTTGATGCTATTGTCAATGAACAATATAAGACGTTACGTTCAGTTGTTCAAGGTTGTCTTGATGATCATGGTATGCAAATTGTCGAACGACGTGAAAAAGAAGGTTTTCCATCCTTGAAACGTATCCTCCATGAACTTCAATCCAAAAAATTACCACGTAGATTGGCAATTCGTGCTCGACGTGAACGAACAGTAGTACGAAGTATTATAAAAATTTTACGTCAACGATCCGACATTACTGTTCGCCGAACTGACAAGAACAAAGTATTTTATGTAGGTAANAATGAACTATATTCAAATCAAATGAATAGAACAAACATCCACTCGTTTAGCAAATAGTGATATTCTTGTCAATAAACGATCACTTCTTCGTCTCTTAACTTTATCGAAATATTATCAAAACAAAAATAGTTCATATTACTTAATTTTTAATTTTCTCTTTTCGTCAGTGATAACAACTTATTGTTATTTTACTTTTCTATAGGATACTATCCGATCAATCGTTTTTAACAAACAACATTCGTCAATACTACAGGAATTAATGAACATTGTTCACTTTCATTGCTTTACTCGTAGAAGTATTTTGTTTGTAACAGAATAGTATTAGTATTGAACAGATGATTTGATAAATGCAAGCTTTTTTCCTTTTTTCATATCCTATCGTATAAGCTGATATTGATTAGATTTGCTTTAATTTAGATACATTTCTATTGATAGACATTTGTTCAATACGAGTACGATGACTGACAAACAGCGATTTCCTAATGACCAAGAACATTGGTGGTGCGAACTTTCACCTAAGCAAGTATCCAGACCATTAGACGTCGTATCTTCTCTACCAAAACAGCAACAGCAACCACAACTAGCAGCGACAAAGCAAAAGAAGAAGAAAAGTCGTGGCAATCGAGCTGAACAACATTTTCACCGAAGATTGCGTAATCGAAATTTGGATGATGAAACCAGGACATTCTTAGTACAAGTAAGAGCTGAAAGAAAACGAGAACAACAAGAACAAAAAAAAATATTTATAATACAACAACGGAAGTAAACAAAATTAGTAATCAAATCAGCAAAATGGCCGAGGATATACAAATAATGGTAAGAATATACATCAGCAGAAAACAAATGATAATGTTAGTGATCGTTTTGTTCTATTATGATTAGGAGATTCCAACCGATGATTTCGTTCGTAAGTCTAATTCAAAGAAACGCAAACGCTAAACATCGACTAAAATTGTCAGACATCTCAGTCAATCCTTGAGTCGATTGTCGATTTTACAAGGATGTTCAAAGAAAAAGTAGATTAAAACTGTTCAAACCAACAATATGTTATCACAAATGATTCGTGAACTGAATGATCAAGCAAAATTATGAGCCCAAATGTTAAAGTCTACTTTCGTACTTCAATATTTAACAGTAACCAATCGGAAATTGAAAGAAATGTTATCAAAAGCAGTATCTGATGGCCATAAAATTTATGGATGGTTAGACAGTGATGAAAAGTTAAGATAGGCACGTAAATTAGCTCATACCTTTAACTTGATATATTATTTTAAATTGCAACAAGAGTTATGGCAAGATTATTTCGATCTGGGTATGAGTGATGGTATTTGGGCTCCACGGGTGTCGAAATCGGCGGCAAAAGAACATCATACATGTATATCGTATGGTCGCTCCTTGAAATTTGTTGAACAACGTCAAAAAACTATTCAACATCAAATGAATTGAACTAATCGTGAACAGCAACAACAGTTGATTCGCCTAACAGAATGGACTGAAAATGCTGAACCATCCATTGATTCAAGATTTCTCTCAACAGCCGTTGAGGCAATGGTAAAAACTGGTCAATATCGCTTAAATACGTAATTCAAACATAAACAAGCAATGTTAAAATTTGATGCTGATAATCATCGTTTGATTTCAGCCGTGTATGCATTGAAATCGACAAAAGAACAGGTCTCTCTATACAACAGATTTATTAGATGCAATAGAAATAAAGAAAATTGTTTGTTTGAAATTTTAGATTGCATTAATCAAAATATATCGGCAAGCCATCGCAGATGAACAGAAAACACTCGAAGAAATGGAAGTTCTTTGAAAATGAGTGTCATTAAGACGACTTCCTCAATCATTTGATAAAATTCTTGATCAATACATTGGTAATATTCAAGAAATGCTGTCACATCCTATTCTTAATAAAGATCGACGTGCTAGTTATGGCATCACGTTGTTCAAAAACAATTACACAATATAAATTTGATTTGATGGCAATGATTATTGCTATAGCTCAAGATACAGCTCGTGGTTATAATCAATTGGCAGCCGATACGAAAGATAAATTACGACAACTTGATAGTGATCAAGTACAATCTTCTACTGAACTACTCATCAAAGCGATAGAAATTCGTGGAGAAAATATGAAAAAAAGGTGCTCAAGAATTACTTCAATATAAACTGATGTCTTTTTTTGAACAGGCTCCGGTGGTAGACAACGGCGAAGGCAACGTATCCGCCGAAGCAATCTAAGTACTTATACAACTATCACTGCCTCATCACCTATTATCGAAACTGATTTGAATCTATCACCTGCACAAATGTCTATGTTTATCAAAGGTCTAAAATACATTCCACCATGTCAAAGTTGATTCTCACGTCAATCTATTAACGATATTATTAATGAACAATACAAGACATTACGTTCGATTGTCCAAGGTTGTCTTGATGATTATCGTGTGCAGCTTATAGAACCGCGTGAGAAAGAAGGTTTTCCCTTCTTGAAACGTATGCTTTATGAGCTTCAATCAAAAAAATTATCACGTAAATTAGAAATTCATGCTCGACGTGAACGAAAAGTAGTACGAAGTATTATAAAAATTTTACGTCAACGATCCAATACTACTGTTCGTCGAACTGATAAGAGCAAAGTATTTTATGCTGGTAATGTGACCATTTTTGCTGAGAAAACATCGAAATATATGATCGAAACAGAAACTTATCAAGAGATCTCGAATGAGCGTTGTGTTTTATCCAAAAATCTCCATTTAGTTACTACGCTTCTAGTTTCGCTTTTGAAAAATGGTGCTATTAATCAAGAACAAAATAAGAAAATATCTCCGACAATAGATTCATTAGAATTGACTCATCTTCATTTTATTCCCAAACCACGTAAAGTAAGTTTCTTTTTCATCATTGCCATTTGAAAGATATAAATAATATTTACTTCTTTGAATTCATATTTTTATCTTAAATTTTCATAGCTCGATGTACCATTAAGACCGATTGTAGCAGCTATTCATAAACCAGCAACAGAAATCTCCAAATTTCTTAATGATCTGTTAGCAACTGTATTTCTACGCGTTGCTCGAAAGACTACTTTTATTAATGCTAGTGATCTTGTTCGAGCATTAGAAAAACATTTTGTCGGTGGTCATTTAAAACCAACGATCTTATTTATTACTTTTGATGTTGAAAATCTTTATACAATGATACTCCGTCAAGGCGCTTTAGAAGTTTTATTATATTTTCTCGAGCGACATTTATGCAGCAAGAAAATTGGTACATTAAGCATTGATCATATTATGAGAATGGCTCGTCTGGTATTGGATACAAATATTTTTGCCTATATGAAATTAAATACTATCGGCAAATGCGTGGTGAAGCTATGGCATCTGCCTTTACCCAAACATTAGCCAATATCTATATGTTAGATTGGGAACAACAGCTAATACAAGATCAACAATTAGACCAATAAATCTATGGACGGTTAGTTAAAATTGTCCAAGTGATATTTAATACCATTAGTGATGTTTCTATTATTTTCTTTACATATATTGATGATGTATTTATTATAACAAACTTAACATGCGATCAAGTCAAAGCAAGATTGGACACTGTTCATAGAATAGATCCCAATATTCATATTTCCTATTCCATTCAATCTACTATCGACTTTCTCGATGTCATCGTCAGCAATGAGAATGTTCACTTGAAAACATCTATCTTTCATAAATCAGTCGCAGAACCTTATGACTACCTTACACATCAGATCATCCTGCATATGTTTTTCGTAATATACCATATGCCGCTTTACTAAGCGCTGCACGAATATGCTCGAATGTCGAAGATTTTGACATGGAAAGGGTTCGTATCGATTTATCGTTATTATTAAATGAGTATCCACCTTCATTTATATCCAAACATTTTCATCGATTCTTCGAACTCAATCAGGCTATGCTGGTATTAGAAAGACTTGATCCCCACGTGTACCACGAATTACACCAGCAATTACTTCATAAGCCAACAAGAAGAGAAAAACAACTCCAAGAGACAACCGAAGACATGAATACTTTACCAGAAGTATTACAGAGAAATAAGTCTTGGGATCCAATGTCATGTATGCAAAATATAACTTCGAAAGTGAGCCAAGGTTAGCTATTCAACGCGACTTCCGCACATGGTGGAAAATAGGATTTTGGAAATAAAGGATCCACTGTGGAGAATGTTCAACTAAAATTTGCAGTCAAAACCAATCGCACTTTAGAAGCCATGTTTGTGCACAAGAAACCACCACCACAAATGCTCAAGCTTAAGCCTACTAATTTCTTGCAACAAACTGTCAATAAACACAACCCTGGCACATAAACAATAACGACAATCAAGACTGTGTCACCTACCCACTTCCCAAAATATGGATAAATCAAACTATTCTCCCTATCGATTCACACCAGTAGAACTAAAATATTAAGAACCATTATGTTTTCTTTTTGCCTTCATTTTTAACCATTCTCTTCAAATAAACTAACCAATTTCATCCTCCATTTTAGACACAAAAACTAGCTATACATGAAATATCTAACTAAAAATGTACCGGTAGAAAACCCAAACATGCCGACCAACAAAAACAACTTATCATTTCTTCAAAACTCAGAGGATAATAAAACAAAAACTCATACGACAAAAACCAAACAAAAGCACCTTATATAACATCTAGACACCGTTTGCACACAAAAATATACAACAATATCAACCTTTGTAAAAGTCATGATGATTCCTACGGCAGACGCAGCCAAAATAAGCCCATAAAGCCAAACTGCCAGCATACCACATAACACAAACATACAAAAACTTTCCCGGACAACTCATTGATCACAAATAGAAACTTGCTAGAAAAGATAACTACCTTGAACCATGCTAAAAACAAAGCCTACTAGATACTACCGTAAATAAACAACGTTCCATAAAACCTTTCCCCAAACCGCTTAGACTGACGCTGACCAAAAAAAAATATTTTGCCAAAGACTGAAGCCTTGTCTATAAATCATTACCAGCAAAATCCAACAGAGATCAAACTGATGTTTCCAACACTTACACTAATATATTGCCAAACATAGATAAATACGGACGAGCAAATAATCACACTCTATAAGAAAAACATCTCAACAAACAATGAACACCAAATCAAACATTGCAACGAAACTCACAAAAAAACCACAAACCCAAACCAATCCAACCCAACTTAAACCCATGAACTAAAGACACAATCTCAATGGTTTTTCACAAGATGATTATTACAAATTTTCTAGATGATATCTTCTTTTTGCAAATCTTTTATAAGAACTCCCACTATTCTGGAATTTGATCGATATGCAGTAAAATTTAGATACCTAACTTACCTGATGATGACCCTTAAGCAAGGTCGAAACCGGTTGTAAGTATTTCTTGTGTATCTAAATAAATCCAAATCTTATACACACCCCACCCTGGAACGGCTATGGCTTATAGCTGTTTGATCTAAGAGTAAAACTCAAGGGGGAAAAAGCGGATTGTGGTATCCCGGTATCCTGTGTATCCCCGATGTATCCTGTGTATCCCCGATGTATCCTGTGTATCCCCGATGTATCCTCTGTATCCCCGATGTATCCTCTGTATCCCCGATGTATCCTCTGTATCCCCGATGTATCCTCTGTATCCCCGATGTATCCTCTGTATCCCCGATGTATCCTCTGTATCCCCGATGTATCCTCCGTATCCTGACCGTATCCCGGATACGCGAATCCGCGAAAAATCTACGTATCCGGAATGCGCCGAGGACACATTAGGGATACAGAGGATAAAGACGATATATTGCGAATATAGGGAATTCCTGGATCCGATTTTCTCCGAAGCGGAGAAAAATGAAAAACTGAGTTTTCTGCAAGGGGGAAACATCGAACTTCTGTACGTTACATACTTTCCGTACTTTAATATACTTTAATCAACTCTAAAGTACTTTGACTTACATTGCCAGACAGATCTCTGGGATCTCAGCGAGGTCTCTAGGGTGCAACGGTNGAAATTAATAGCATAAATGTTCAATGTTAATTTTTTTCTTTATTTATTATAAAAATGGGCTCTTAAAAATCAGTCTCCCCAAAGTGCATTAGTGGAAAATATTTCGACATTGATTGGCTATTCCAGCTATGCTTTTTTTCACCAGATCACGTACTAAAAAGTAAATTTATTCGATTGTATAATAATAATAAAAAAGACTGTTTATTGTTTTTTTTTTTAATAGCTGCATGATGCTGATATAGGTGTTATATTAAATCGTGAACTTGAAAATTGCATCATTAATAAAAAAAAAAAAAAAAAAAAAAGAACAATAAAACAATACCATGAACAATAAAATATTTGAAAATCAAATGATAATGATTCACATTAGAAAAAAAGAAACAATTATAACAGTTGATTTTGAAATTTCAACTCCAACACTAAATACATCATCATCAAATTTAAATCAAGATCCTATTAGTTTTATTAGTTAGAATTTATTATTAAAAGATATAACAGAATATCTCGTCGAAGAGGATGATGCTGAACAAGAATTACCAATTGATGCATTCACAACCAATCATAATGATTTAAATACATTTGAAATCGAGAAAAATTTAATTAAAGTAAGTGATATAAATTGAGAAATAATCATTTCTATTCAAATATATTTTAAAGTACTTAATCATTTAATTTTAGATTCAGCTGTTATTCATTCTGTTAATTATTATAATGATTTGGAATATTCTCAAAAAGATTCAATATTAAATCATCATTTGGTCATAGATTTTAATGTCGTACATGTATTTGAACCATTTTATGATCCAATACATAGACTACTGTAAGTTATATTCTGAAAACTAACTAGCATTGGTCTTATTATTATTATTTTTTTTTTTTTTTTAGATGTAACCGATCATTGAGAAGCTATGAAGATTCTTGATGCAACGAATGAAATGTAACTTAGAATTGTCAAATATTTTCAACAAATATAAACAATATAATAATCATGTTCTTTTTTTTTTTTGATGTTATTGTATCTTAATTTTATACTTTCTCAATGTTATATTGATAAGAACGTAGTTTTCCCTTTTTTTTTTAATTGTTGTACATCTGTACTTATTTTTATTTCATTTTTCATTTCTTACTGACACAGAGTTATGAATTTTTCAAATATATAAATTAAAACAGACAAATGCAAGATTTTTTTTTCTAACTTTTTTCTCGAAATTATGAATAGACAAACAAACAATTAAATTAAAATGAATGCTATCAAATATGTTGATAGCAAATCGTAAAGTGCAAAAAATTCAATAACTAAAAAAATATTATTTCCTTCAATTTTCAATTATTTCTAGTTTATATATTAGTATATATATTTTAAAGCGGATTCGTTTTTTATAGAATTCCTTCTATCTGTATAATCTTAGAAGTGAATGTTTATCCATTCAATTGAAAATTGAAAAAGAAAAAAAAAATATTCATATCGAAAAATAAAACAATGTAAAACGTTTTATATAAATATTCAATGTAAAGATCTTATGAGAACTGAAATCAATATAAGTACATTTAATTTTTTTTTCTTAAATTAAGTCAAATAATATTGGAGTTTTTTAATAGGTTATTTGAAGTTTCATAGAAACAGAAATCTTCAAATCACACGCTCGAGATCACGTTCAAAACAGCTAAAGTCAGTCGATTTTTTTACTGAACATATTACTCTGTTCGCATTACTAGATTATATTGAATAGATTTTGGTTAAAATAAAATCGGATGTATATGTTCAAAAATTATATTTTTTTCTTTTAATGATTTATTTGTGTTTTTTTTTATACGTCATTCTCAAAATCACAATCATCATTGTCTACATGGTATTTTATGTAACCATAGGTCAAACTTCTAATACGTCGTTCATATTCTGTAAAATCAATTTTTTTATTAAGAATGAGTTCTTTTGCCTCGATTAAATAATTATCACGATCACGATATACTTTTCGCTGAACTTTCGTAGGACGTTTTTGTTTTATCTCTTGAGATACGGATATCATAGTTCTTTCATCAAGTTCACGTTTTAATAGTATATATCTCCAAATATTTGGATGAGGTGCGGTACGTCTATTAACAAAAAAACTAACGTCAATATATGGTTTGAAAATTGTTCTAAAAGAAAAAAAATTAGTGAAACATCTATAACAGAACGTACGCATTTATTGAACGATGATGACCTTCAAGAGCATTATTTGTTCGATCTGTAAATCCAATAGAAGCAAAATGATTCCAACGTGTTGGTGGAAATTTATTTCCATGTAAATATGTGTTTGAAAAATATTGAAGAAATTCTTCAATACTACTTGTAAATCGAAGCAATGTTGAAGCAATACTTTCAAAGGCATCATAAACATGTGTTAATGGTACAAGAGGAAGTCCAAATAAATTTGCTAATTCTCGTTTAGTGCTTTTTTCTTGAAAAAATTTGATAAGGCCTAACGACATGAAAATATATATTAGTTATAAAAACCGAAATAAAAAGGTTTGAAGAAAAAAAAACTATACCAAGTTTCTGAACTTTACGCCATACTGATCGACAATAATGAAAATGACAATACAGAACAGAACTTCTTTTGAAAACCGATAAAAACGCATTTGATGCAGCTAGTTCGAAATCCAACATGATACTTATAGGTTCTAATTTAATGTTATTTTGATTCCCAAAATCGAGTAAACCTTGAAAAACTAATTCATATTGTTCTTGTTTACGTTCACACATTGCAACATGAACAAATGGATGAATACCCCAATCTGTACGACCATGAATTGAATATGATTGAAGAAATTTCTGTGGTGCACTTCGAAATGTACCATCAGCTAACCAGTGAACACATTGACCTTTTCAAGATTAAATATAACTTAGAAAATAAATTTATTCGAAAAATACAGGAACATATACAGTCTAAGCTGAAAGCAGAACTCATCAGATTGAAAAATCTATATACATCACCGTGAACATAGACAACAGAAATTTTCCAACCTAAACTTCAACAGATAATCTTTTTATTGGTTACCAATTCACTGTAGTCTTATTTTCTTTTATTTGGTATTCTTGTTTTAAATTTTCCAACAGGAATTAAAACGTTTTTGAAGCAATAGATGTTTATTAAACAAGTTGAAACCCAATCTTAGCAAAGGAAACCCTTTAGACCAGTATTTTACAAAAAACAAAAAACTCGGGACCAGGTTTGTGCGACAAAAAAAAAAAAAAAAAAAAAAAAACTTTGATTTTATATTATTTTGATAAAAGAAATTTAATTACTGAACAAATTAAGAGCTACTCATAATTAACATAATGATTCTGAAAATTTAATCCTTTGGATTTGTATATTTGAGTTGCTTTTATTTAGATTTTTTAATAAAGAAAAATGTAACCTCTAATGGTTTCATACAATATCATCAATAAAGAAAAACAAAACCCTTTTTCTCCAAAAATAATGTTTATTTATTTTTTTTTCTATGATTTGATAATCTTTCGACTTAATGTTTATAGAAAAATAGAGAAAACAATTCAAAGTAAAGGCGAAAAAATTAAACAACAATGAGAGTTAGCATATGAAATAGCATTTGATACATATGAAACATACTAAGTGATGTTAATGCTTTTGGAGAACATAATGTTATGAGACGATGTGGTGCCGGATTATCGAATATAACAAATGGTTTACCATTTTCGAGAAGTTTTAAACTGTCAGGTATGACAATGTCTTCTAATGTTTTTGGAATTGGTGGAAGAACTGCCGATCTACGACGATAAGCCGTAGATCTTATGTAATTGAAAATAGGCACATCATCAGCTAATCCATTCTTTCTTTTCTAGCAAAATATTAAAATACAAAACGAATAAAAAAATATTTTATAAAAATTTACATGTTGTATTAAATGGTGTTGATAAATTTCGGTTACAGGTTTCAATAAATCAGCTGTTGTTTCCTTATATATATTTTCCAATAAAGTTCTGATTTCAGATGTATGCTGAAGTTCTTCATGTAAATGTTCTTGTGGATATCGTTTAATAATATTACCAAGTAAAACCATTGATACGCCGCAAGATTTATTACAACAGATCCATATTTCAGAACCATCCTTATTTGAGCATCGTTTTCTGTATTTTTGATTTTTATATATAAATGCTTTTGCACCACGAGTCGTTTCGGTCCATTCAATGGAATCCATATAACAATAACAATTATGCGAAATATTTAAATTCGAAAAAAACTATCGCCATATGTAGTAACATTGTCGTCTAATGAACTCTATTAATTATAATAATTAAATCATGGTATCCATCATTGAGCGCTCTCTATAAATTACAATTAATTCGAAGATAGGTAAAACAATAGTAATTTAGCGTACTCTACAAATTACAGTTTAGTTAAGAAAAAATCAATGAACAATAGCTTAGCATACTCTATAAATTACAGCTTGTTAAAGAGAAATAGATCAACAATATTTTAGCGTACTCTATAAATTACAGCTGAAGCATAAAAATCGAATTAAATACGCAATTAATTAGCGTACTCTACAAATTGCAATTTACTAAAGAAAAATAAATCAACAGTAGATGAACGTACTCTATAAGTTACCGTAATGTAGAAATAAGTGACCAAATATTCAGTGTTCTCTATAAATGACAGCTCATATATGCTCATAAGGTACTTTTAATTTTGAGGTGGGTAAATTTTAAAGAATTTAAAAATAAAAATAAAAATATTAATTTTCTTTATTTATTTAAATGATTGAAATCGAAGAATTAAATTAAGTAAAATTAAAATTTTTAAGTTTCAATTTTCTTTATGTTCGCAAATGAGAAGACACGGATTTCGAATGAATCTGATAATGAAATCAATCACTTTCAAAGTCAAATTCGTTTCGAAGAAATCAACAAATTATTCGAACAATATCCATATACAATCATTTCAAAAGAGAATTATAATCAACGAATGCAATCTGATACGAATGCACTAAATATCGATCTACATGTATTACAAACATTAATCAATGATTACCATACCATGATGGATGAGTTATTTCAGAATTCTATCAATACAACATATACGACAGATGCTATTCATAATGATCATTTAAAAATTGATCTACTCTTAATAACTTGGTGTTATCTAATTTGTTTCTGTCTTATAAGTCTATGTATTGGATTGATCATTTACATATGGGTATCTCAAGTCGGGTTCAATCGATCTAATCCTTGCTTATCAAATTTTCTAAAATGCTTAATATCTCCTCTTCACAAGCAACAAAAATGTTCACCACAATTAGAACAACAACAACAACAATCACAACAAGATCTAGCCAAAACTCAATCAATTGATCAAAAGAAAGAACTCTCTTCAGCAATGGCATTCAATTCAGTTGATATTGTTTAGTTCAGCGTGGAATATTCATGTTATTTAGCATGGCATATGAACATTTATTTCAAAAAACTGTCAAAACCGAACTAAAATATATTGCATGCTCTTTTTCAATTACATATTAATTTAGTTTAGCAATCTTCTTAAAGCACTTTCATGTTTCAATAATGAATCTACTACTAGAATTCACTTTTTATTTCAGATATTTTTTAACTATTCTATATGCTTTCCTCAAACCAATTCAATAATAATTGTTCAAGAGTTATTCTTGTAATAATTTTTTTTGGTTTGTCTAAAATCTTCATTCATTTGGACTATCTATTTTCTAGTGTCTTTACTGATACTTGCCACTTGATAAGATTTTATTGAAAAATCGAACTACTATCTATCTAGTATTGTGGTAACTTCAACACACCCACACCCTTCGACAAAATATCTTCAGAAAATAGCTTACGAATTTATCCAGCTGATAACGACGAATAATACAATCCAAAATTCTTTCTCTTTCTTTGTCCTGCATATGTCCTTGATTTTCGCTTTTACTATTCATTTCAATTGAAACAATACATCGAGTGAGTACCATCCTAATACATTTAACTTTTCATCTTTCTTCAAGTCATAGATGTATGATGGTTGATTATTTAGCACCACTACTACTACTTCTGCTATCACTGCATCTTTCATTTTCATTACTCTTAATTGCAATGTAAACTACGATCATCAGTAATAAAAAAATGAAGAATATCACAATCTTGAACAATGGTCATTATTTTAATATGAAATAATTGATTGATGTACAGTATATATAAAAACGGTTATGTTCCATGAAGTTAAAGTATTCTAATTCTTATTTCAATATGTGAACAAGAACGACCGATTTAAAATATATATCTATTGATGATACAGCTTGTTTATTCAATTTATACAAAAAATTATTTCCTAATTTCTTTTTTTAATAAACGTCAATTAATTCATACATCGCAGTAGCTGGACTAATCCCATGTGGGTCGTCCGGACAAAAGTGCTGCCAAATTCTAAATTTCCTCAAAAAATGTCTTAAATAATGGAAACAACATTGTTCATACGCAAATAGTCACCGGCAACTATTTTCACTAGAATGGAAACAACGTCACAAAAACGACTACAAATAAAATTCATTTGTGTAAAATTTCTATCGTGAAATCCGAACTCAGACTTTCTCCCATTGAATAAAATACTGAAAATAAAGAACAAAAAAAAACGGACAGCGTCGAAAGACACCAACGTCGTGTGATGTTTTGAATTTAATCTCTTATCTTCTATTTAATTGAAGATATTAATTGAGAATTATTACGAATTGAGTCTTAACCTCTCAGTTTATTTAAATGAGTTTTAGTTTTGTTATGTAATAATAAATTCTAAACATGCCTAATGAATTCCTTAAGCAAGGGCGAAACGTCATGTGGTCCTTTGAATATAATTTCTTATTTTCTATTCGTAACTAGAAGCAGACGTGAATTACCAGCAATTTGGTCATTTCTTATTCGCCAAATATCAAGCTTCCTTTTTTTTCATTTCTATCGTCTAGTTTTTAGATATTTCGGTGTTTACAGAGATTATTCTTTGTTATTTATATCTGGTACCAATGTTCACAACTTTAAAGATGAATATGATGGATGATACTTATCATTTCGATGATCAAGGTAATCTAAGTGAAGATCCTTGGGATGGGAGAGCAATAATGGAACTCAGCAATGACCAGGTAAGACTGATTCTACCGAGGCTGACAGTAGTTTATCGATATACGTAAAATATGCTTCTTCGCTTTATTCTCATTCAAGTTATTCACACCATTGGCAATTGTAAATTCTGTCGAAAATGACCCGTTGAAGCCGATTAATTTTAGTCCTTCATTGTACAATTTCTTAAATAGTATCAATACAAGTGACACAGATGTGAACACTGATATTGTCCCAGAATTCAAAGTTGATGAAAACATGAATTTCAATCAAGATCAGATTAACCAATGTTTCAACGATTTTCGATATGAACAAGTGATATTTGACGCTGATGCGCTCTATGAATACTTTCTTCAATTACCAATTACTTCTGATCAATGTAGTAATACAACACAGACATTTCGTTTCCTCTTTCTAAATTCGATCATAATAATTAAATAGCCTTTGTTTAGATGATCCAATGCCTATCGTCAATTACTTGCCACAAGATAACTATGGATCGTCTCTGTCGACATCATCGTTTATCTCCAAAACGGACACGGATTCGGCAATGAAAGTAACCACAAACGACTCATATCAGCCAACGAATAAAGTTGCCCTTGTGAATCATCATGATTGGCCTAACGTTGATTTGAAAAGCTCAGGTAAATAGAAATTTCATCTATACAAGTATTATATGGCCAGAGATTCATGTGTAAAATTATCTGATTGTTTATTTTTAGATGCATTTCAGATCGCGAAACAACACAAATTCAATTTGACTGTTCCAACAGAAGATGAAGAGCCGAAAAAGAAATTTCGATTGAACAAGAGGTCCTTTGCAATTGCCTGTTACTCGAATATGACAAGTAAGATACGTTTCACGAGTGAGTCTACTAATGAATGATGTACTTCTATCTTGAACAGAAGAACATATTATGATACATATCCAAAATGAATTTGATGAACGCATACAATATGTCTGTATTTCGTCTCAAGATGAATCACAAACATCGTGTTCTCTGATGTACATTCAGATCATTCTCCGAAAGATAATTAATAAGAAAACCTATTTTCTCAAAGCAATAGCAGGTTTGAATGAACTTTATCAACGAAGACGAAATACTAAAAATATTTCGATAACATGTATCGCTCTCATAATCGTTCTAGGAATGCAATGTAATTATCGAGTGACATGCGATGATCGTGCTTGGAATGTGTTTATAAAAAAAGGTTCGTTGCATCTATTCTCTCAACTAATGTGAATTTAAACGAAATCTAACGTTCTAGTTGGCAATTGCATTGAAGTTGGACAATTTCGATCAGTGAGATCCCGTACTGGCACAAAATTGTCCGAAGCAATTCGACAGAAACGCAAAGACAGGAGAAATAAATCTAAAATAAATCACAATCAGCTTCCGACTACGAAAAGTCAACTAGAAGCGAAACAAGTAGCCGAAGATATTATGACAAAGGTAATGACATGCATTGAAGAAGCAATCGATGACACTAAGAGACAAATGCCAATCGAATGTTCACATCAACGAGATACGTAAGCATTGTTGTTTCTTTGCTTGTTTTAGTATAAAAAAAGTCACAAGGATTTTTATTTACGTTATATCTATAGAATTCTGAAGAAATTAAACTCTCTTCATGTTTTGGTTCAAAATAGCATTGCTAAGTAACTACATGACTGGCATCAAAATGTTCGAATGTGTCCTTGGAGTCATCATTATTTCCTTTTTTTTGTTTCATTGTTCTATGTATTGTTTTTGATGATTTCACACTTTCATTTCACTTTTTTTCAATTTTATCCTGCTTTTGTTTCATTTCCTTTGATTGTTTCTCGTTCTATTTTAGTTCATGTTTTTTGTTTCTTCTTGTTAAATTTAGAAGATTAGATATATGTCTGTATTTAACTTCGTTATGTCATTTGAAACGTCTAATCTAGCAATATAAAAAAACATGGAAAATATATATCAAAAGCTTCGATCAGAGCATTTTCAAATCATCAATCGTGTCTGAAGGAGGAAAATACATATCTTAACTGGTTGGTCACATAGTAACTGAACTTTCTAGGACGAAATCATATTGGTCCCTCTTTTTCTTTGGAAAAAGAGTCACCCACTCTGTATGTCTCATTTTGTCTCATGTATTTTCGATTAATTGTGAGTATTTGTTTTCATAAAGTCTAACGATCAGCCATAGAAACGATACTAACGACTAATGATAACCATGAAACAACAAAGTTTATGTGCTATCTTTAACTCACCTGTCTGTGATGACCTTTTTCTTTATTGTTCATATTTAATCAAATGAATCTTATTCGGTTGACTTTGTATTATGATTTGATAAAATTCTTGATCATTTTCCTATTCAAATGTTATTGTTAAGGTTGCAATACATAAGTAGGATGTACTTGACAAGAATAGTCACAGAAAACATATGTTCAGGGGATTATAGAGAGAGATACTCCTATGATTCAAACTACTTGATGATGCTTAATGATGCTATGATATTAGAGAAGCATCATGAGAAAGTATATTTTTATTTCGATTTCCTTCACTTGGACTGCACTCTATGTATATAATTCTTACAGCTGTGATCAGCATGATTATCTTTTGTCTTCTGTTTCTATGCAGCAGAAACAAGGAAACACCGTTCTCTGACGTTCATCTGCTGAAACGATAAAGAACCATGCTACTCTATGAAACGAACAAGTTTTATCCAATGGAAAAAAAAAGTTTAATACAGTTACGACGGTCTCCATCACTGCCATACACAATAATATACAAATGGAAACAAATGCTGAAAAGATAATTCCATTTCAAGATTGTTCTGAACTGTTTTCTTTCATCTCTGGGGACGATATGCGAGCTGAAATAAACATACTCAGGAAAAAAAAGACGGCTATCAAACAATGGGCAGTCCACATTGTATACCAGAACAGATGACATTGTATACGCATTGTAGAATATTTCAGTGAAAATTCAGATTATTTTGATTATTAGTAAAAAGTTTAGATTATATATATAGTAATTCTGTTTTTAGCAAGTAATCCAATTGAAATCGATGTTAATTCTCGATTCGATTAAGAAAATAATCTGTTTTGGTAGATTTCAATCCATTGTATGGATTACGATCAAATTTTCTTTCTTCACACATTATAATCACAATATTCAACAAACGGTAATCAATGATCCAGACTTGGATGTGACCATCGATCGAAATTGATTAAAATAGGTTTTGATTTCACAATCGGTTATGAAATAATCATTATTTAAGTGTTTATATCGATTATTCTAACGAAAATTAAATCTCCATCTAAAATCGATTCCAATTCTTGTAGTTGATTGAAACATACTCATTCAAAGCCTGATTCTAAGGACTTCAGTTAGTTTTAATGGATCATCGTAATGAAGATCAGATTTCGATCTAAAATCGATTATAGTTTTTCAAAATTCAAGAAAATATCTATCTCATTGAATCTGATTAGAAGATTTTTAATCAATTATAATTGATAATTTGGATTTACATTCAATTATATTCGAAAAGACGCATAATCTTAAAAGTTCATTACAATTGTAAAAAAACTCTAATGTATTTTAATCGTAAAGGGTATACAATGTGTTTTTCTCTAGTTTTCAATTGGATGGTGTACTGTTCAACTGTTTTTACCAAGCCCTCGTGTCGGCAAATTGTAAGTATAATAGTACAACAACCTCTGATACCCTTGTCATACTTTGAGATACAATATCAATTGCTACTCATACACACAAGTAAAAACACTGATGCTCCCGATCGGAATCAGTAGAAATCAGATGATAATCGCTTATAATTCATCGCAACCAATTAGAAGAATTTCCATCGATTATGATTTTTCATCAAAACAGATTTCAACCTGGATTTCGGCGCGCAATAATCAGCTTTACGATAAGTAGTACACCTATGCGATTATTCAATTGTAATCAGCTTTAATCTTCAAAATTTTGCACTGCATAAAAGAAAGACCAACGTTCTAAAGGAGGACGGACGTCGTTTCCGTACCGTGACGGGTCACACAGTAAAGCAGAACGGACGTCGTTTCTCTAAAGGAACGGGTCATATAAAAAATCAGGAACGACGTCGTTTCTATACCCGGACCGACCAGATCGTACATCAGGACACACCAGGTTGTACAATAGAACGGACAAATCTCTCACGGAGACGGACCACCATTCCGCAGAGGGACGGAACAGCCTGTATAACAAGACGGACGACTTTTCTATACAGCAACGGATCAGGTTGCATACCAGGACAGGCAACGTTCTACATTAAGACGGAGAACGTCCTACACGAGGCCAGACGACGTTCAACTTTTTACCATCCTTCCAACAAAACCGAACGAGCATATATATAGCCGCATTTTAATACTATCAACTCATTCTATTCAGTTCGTCTTTAACGTACATTCATCCAACACTTGCTTTACATTAAACCTCCAACAACTTCTCGCATCCAATACCAAGCATATACACAACTATGAACACATGGCAAGTCAATATATTCGCAGACGTCGGAAACAAAAACATTCCTCGAAATAAATCTTCACTCAACAACCACACTTGAACACAACAGATACCAACCCAACATTAGACAATCAACACTTACAATATTACTTAGAAACCAATCCAAAACCAGAATTGCACAACATAACTAAACCAACTACACAAACAAAACGATAATAAAGCAATCCAACAAAATATTCCTGCCCACCATCTCCGCGCATCGCACTCTCTTAAAAAAATGATTTAACATCTACCTTACAAAACAAAAATTTATACAAGCCATCAAGTACAAATCACTCACAAACACGGTCTTCGAATTTTCACCTCGATCCTATCGAGACACGAAATTCGAAATTTTAGTGTCTTGTTTTTGGTTTAATTTTTCTTCTTCGAAAATTGAATCAATCGAACAGATACTAGCCACTTGATAAGATTATAGCAAAATCGAAATACTACTCTAGTATTGTGGTAACTTTAACACACCCAAAACATAACGCAAAAAAAAAACCCCGACATATGAATCCATCTGATTAAGATAATTGAATGATAAACCACTGTTTTCTCAAAAAACATCGCAACCTAATAAAAATCTATTCAAACTCATATAAATATCCGAATTCCTGAAACCCATTCACTATCAACATCCCTACTCCCTACTGAATGCTTGAATACAACTTCATGCAACAATTATGCTACTACCCACTCAATCAGATTTCACGTCAAATCGAAATACTTGAAGTATCCTGGTAACTCTTCACAATCTTGACGCGATTCTTTTTCGATTTTCTCGTCGAAAACAATTTTGGTATTTCGTACTCATCTTTGGATCATTTGTACTGATATTTTCGCCACTTAATAAGATTTATCATCAAATCAAAATACTTTAACTATCGTGGTAACTCTTAACACGCATATCCACTTGATAAGATTATTTTCAGTAAGATCGAAATACCCTCGGTATTATGGTAGCCATACACACCCATGAAACATATTCAGATAAAATGACTCGAACGAAAATCAACTCCTCTGGCAAGCAGTGATATTCTTGTCAATAAACGACAACCTCTTCGTCTGTTAACTTTATCGAAAAGTGAACTGAACAAAAAGAGTTCGTATTACTTGATTTTTAATTTTCTCTTTTCGTCAGTGATGATATCTTATTTTTATGACTATTTTTTCTGTAGGACACGATACTACGGACCATCTTTAACAAAATGACATCAGTCAATACTACATGGATCAATGAACATTGTTCGTTTTCAATTTTTTACACGTAGAAGTAGCTCGTTTGCAGTAGAATTGTATTAGTATAAAATAGATGATTTAAAAAATACAAACGTTTTTTGGATACTCTATCATATAGGCTTATGTTGATTGGTTTCGTTTTGTTTTTAGATAAATTTCTATTAATAGACATTGTTTCCATAGGAGTACGATGACTGACAAGCGATATTCCAATGATCAAGCTCATTGGAGGAGTCAACTTTCTGCTAGTCAAGTACGCACACCACCCAACATCTCGCGTCCTCTGTCCCAGCCACAACAACCACAAATAGTGACGACGAAGCAAAAAAAGAAGAAAAGTCGTGGTGATCGAGCAGAACAACATTTTCAACGAAGATTGCGTCTACGAAACTTGGATGAAGAAACCAGGGCATTATTAGTACAAGCAAGAGTTGAAAGACAACGAAAACAACAACAACAAACTGTGCTTGATACTGCAATGGAAGTAAACCCAATGGGTGATCAAATGATCAACATGGCACAGGATAAACAAATGATGGTAAGAACATTTATCAGAAGATAAAAACTAATTGTATGAATGATTTCTTTTGTTTTCTAATGATTAGGAAATTCCATTAAATGACATCATTCCTAAGTCAAATTCAAAGAAGCGTAAACGCAACACAGCGACGAAAATTGACAGGCATTTAAGTCAATCTTTGAGTCGATTGTCGATTTCACAAGGATGTTCAAAGAAGACGAAGAAAAATGTTCCATCAAACAATGTTTTAACAAAAATGGTCGATGAACTGAATGGTCAACCAAAAATATCAACAAAAAATTGCAAGTCTGCTTTCGTACCTCAATATTTGAAAGTATCCAATCGAAAATTTAAAGAAATGTTATCAAAAGCAGTTCACGATGGTCATAAAATTTACGAATGGTTAGACAATGATGAAAAGTTAAAATTCACCCGTGAATTAGCTCATATCTTTAACTTGATGGATTATTTAAAATTACAACAACAATTATGGCAAGATTATTTTGATATCGGTATGAACGATGGTGTTTGGGCTCCACGAGTATCAAAGTCGAAAGCTAAGGAACATAATACATGTGTATCATATGGTCGATCAGAGAAATTTGTTGAACAACGTCAAAAAACAATTCAACATCAATTGAATCACACTTATCGTCAATTACAACAACATCTTGCTCAACTACCAGAATGGACAGAAAAAGTTCAACCTCCCATTGATTCAACATTTCTCTCAAATGCCATTCAAGCAATGGTAAAAAATGGTCTCCATCGCTTAAATGCTCAATTCAAACACAAACAAGCCATGTTAAAATTCGATGCTGATGATCATCGCTTGATTGCAGCCGTCTATGACTTGAAACCGACTGAAGAACAGGTCTGTGTCTATAGCATAGATTCATTATCTTCAATCGAAATTAAGGAAATTCATTGTTTGATATTTTAGATTGTGCTCCTAAAAATATATTGGCAAGCCGTTGCAGATGAACAGAAAGCACTCGAAGAAATGGAAGTACTTCGAAAGCGAGTGTCATTAAGACGACTTCCTCAATCATTTGATAAAATTCTTGATCAATCCATTGCTTCTATTCAAACAATGCTGTCACGTCCGATTCTACACAAAGATCGACGTGCTAGTATGGCATCACGTTGTTCAAAAACAATTACACAATATAAGTTTGATTTGATGGCCATGACTATTGCTATAGCTCAAGATACGGCTCGTGGTCATGCTCAATTGACAGTTGATACAAAAAATAAATTACGACTTCTCGATGGTGATCAAGTACAATCTTCTACTGAATTACTCATCAAAGCTATGGAAACTCGTGCACAAAATATGAAAAAACGTGCTCAAGAATTACTTCAATATAAATTGATGTCTTTTTTCGAACAGGCTCCGGCGGTACACAACGACAAAGGCAACGTATCCGCCGGAGCAATCTAAGCATTTATACAAACATTACTGCCTCATCACCTTTCATCGAAACTGATTTAAATCTATCACCAATACAAATGTCCATGCTTATCAAAGGTCTCAAATATATTCCACCATGTCAAAGTCGATTCTCACGTCAATCGACTGATGCTATTGTCAATGAACAATACAAGACGTTACGTACCATTGTCCAAGGTTGTCTTGATGATCATCGTATGCAACTTGTCGAACCACGTGAAAAAGAAGGGTTTCCATCCTTGAAACGTATCCTCCATGAACTTCAATCCAAAAAATTACCACGTAAACTAGAAATTCGTACTCGACGTGAACGCAAAGTAGTACGAAGTATTATAAAAATTTTACGTCAACGGCCCGACATTACTGCTCGTCGAACTGACAAGAGCAAAGTATTTTATGTAGGTAATGCTACAGTTTTTGCCGAGAAAGCATCAAAATATATGATCGAAACAGAAGCTTATCAAGAGATCTCGAACGAACATTGTATTTTATCGGAAAATCTCTATTTGGTTACTAGTCTTCTAGCTTCTCTTTTAAGAAAAGGTGCCATTAATCAAGAACAACATAAGAAAATGTCTCCGAAAATTGATACATTAGAATTGGCTCATCTTCATTTTATTCCAAAACCACATAAAGTAAGTTGCTTATTGTATCATTACAATTTGAACAATACAAATATTATCGTCGCCTTTGAATTCATTTTTATCTCTATTGTTTTATAGCCTGATACGCCATTACGACCGATTGTAGCAGCTATTCATGCACCAGCAACAGAAGTGTCCAAATTTCTTAATGATCTATTAGCCCCTGTATTTCTACGCGTTGCTCGAAAGACTACTTTTATTAATGGTATTGATCTTGTTCGAGCATTAGAAAAATATGTTGCCGATGGTCATTTAAAACCAACGACCTTGTTTGTTACTTTTGATGTGGAAAATCTATATACAATGATTCCACGGCAAGGTGCTTTAGAGGCATTAATGCAATTTCTCGAGCGACATTTACGTGACAGGAAAATTGGAACATTACACATAGATGATATCATGAGAATGGCTCGCCTTGTATTGGATACGAATGTCTTTGCCTATGAAAATAAATATTATCGACAAATACGTGGTGGAGCTATGGGATCCGCCTTTACACAAACATTAGCTAATATTTATATGTTAGATTGGGAACAAAAATTAATAGAATATCAGCAAGCAGACAAAGAAATCTATGGACGGTTAGTTGAAAATCTTCGCATGATATTTAATACCACTAATGATGTTTCTATTGTTGTCTTTAGATATATTGATGATGTATTCATGACAACAAACTTAACATTCGATCAAGTTAAACAAAGATTAGAAAATGCTCACAGAAAAGATCCAAATATTCGAATTTCATATTCCATTCAATCTACGATTGACTTTCTCGATGTCACAGTCAGCAATGATAATAGCCAATTGAAAACATCCATCTTTCATAAGCCAGCCGCTGAACCCTATATACTACCTTACACATCAGATCATCCACGACATGTTTATCACAATATTCCATACGCTAGTCTCTTAAGAGCTGCTCGAATCTGCTCGAATGTTGAAGATTTTGACATGGAACGTGTTCGTATCGATCTATCATTATTACTAAACGAGTATCCACCTTCATTTATTTCCAAACATTTTCATCGATTCTTCGAACTCAACCAGGCTATGCCCGTATTAGCACTGCTCGATCCACAAGTGTACCGCGAATTACATCAAAACCTACTTCATAAGCCAACAAGAAAAGAAAAACAACTACAAGACACAACCGAAGATATTGATGCTTTACCTGAAGTATTACGGAAGAAAAAGCCTTGGGATTCGAATGTCATGTATGCAAAATATAACTTCGAAAATGGTCCCAGAATAGCTTTTCAACGTGAGTTCCGTTCATGGTGGAAAAAACATTTCGGACACGAAGGTTCTAGAGTCGAACATGTCCAAATAAAGTTTGCCGTCAGAACTAATTATACTCTCGAAGATATGTTTGTGCAAAAGAAACCACCACATCACATGCTGAAACGAAATCCAAATGGAATCGTACAATCCACAGTCAATGAAGACAACCCACTCATATGAAAAGACAACAAAACAGAATAAGCACGTCGATTACTATATCTTACATCGACGAACATACTAAATTTCTACCGATATAAATAAATAAAAACTAGCTCGCAGTACAAAACATCTTTTTCTATTCTTCGTCGTAACATTACGATTCCATGTATAAAACAAAACTACACAATTTCCTTCCCTGTTTCAGATATATTACATTTTACACGACACGTACAACCGTCAAAAGATAAATGTTAAACTTATCGTTATCTGAAGAACCTGCCGCAAAACATTCGAACAAAGAACCAAACAAAAACATTCGCAGCCGACACACGGATATTCTCAACTTTATATAAAACTTCCATCCTCACCTCATAACATCAACAACACGAAACAGCCGAAACGCGTCGTAAGTATGCTTGGTTTCTGAAAAATTCAATTCTATACACAACCACACCCGATATGTTGTACAATCTGCTTTATTTTATATACTCTAGTTTTCGCTTTTGCTTTTTCTTTTTTCTCAATAGGTATATCGATGATATCTTTATGACCACTAATTTGTCGCTTGATCAAATCAAGATACGACTCAACATAGCCGACGAACAAGATGGAAACATCCGAATAACTCATACAATTGGTTCAACTGTGGAATTTCTCGATGTACTAGTCGAAAATAATCAAGGTCAATTGAGAACTTCAGTATTTCATAAATCAGCAGCTGAACCATATATTCTACCATTTTTATCGGATCATCCACGTCATATTCATCGCAGTACTGTCAAATCACAACTACTTCGAGTGGCACGTCTCTGTTCTCACGTAGAAGATTTCGACAAAGAACGACTGAATATTGAATTCACCTTACTATTGAATGAATACCCACCAAAATTTGTTACTTATCAATTTAAAAACTTTTTTCATACAAATAATGTTTCTTCCTTAATGGAACAATTGGATGAAGTCGTATATGGAGAATTACACAGGCAGGCATTATATCAAGCAACACGTCGAGAAAAACAACAAGAACAAGGACAACTGGATATGACATCCAATGCCAATCAACAAGCGAACGCAAATCAAAATGATATTTTTGTCCATTTCACTTTCGAAAGTGGTCCAATGTTAAATTTCAAGCAAGAATTAAAGAATCTCTGGAAAAAAACATTACATTGATAACAATCCAATAAAGCACAATATTCGCTTGAAGATTGGTACCAGAAGCAATAAAAATCTAAACGAATTACTCGTTAAGAAAAAGCCACCAAAAGCAATGTTAATGAATGTGGTACCATAAGATGCAACAACTAGAACAGCAATGATTAGTTGACAAAATTTATTCAATACCATTCTGCAAACATATATATCTAAAGACCTTAACAAGTCACCAAATAGACATTTCATTTACTCTGACTATTGCTCTTTTGTATAGTTCACAATTTTATTCATAGCCTTTCGTTCTTACACAAAATAATCATGTTCAACATAGAAAATTTTCATTTCTTTATTATTCTAGATATACACCAGTCTATTTACCTTCGTTGAACAATACTATTTTACCTACGAGCAAAGATCAATTCATTTAATGTAAGTATCATCATCAAAAATACGTTTAATGATTGAATATTTTTTTTCGTTTGTTTAAGAATGAGTACGGAAAACAGCCAACCGGGTCATATTCCGTCAGAACTATTGAATACACTCAGTGTAAGTCAATCTAATATTGATCAACTATTATCGGTCGGAATCGTAACTACAAGTCAGCCATCATCGATACAATTCAACTCGACAAATATGATTTCAAATATTCAAGAACACGATCATCGAACCGTAACACAGCATGTGGGTCGAGAACAACGACATCAACAAACACAAGCACGACGACAACCACAACAACAACAAGAACGGCAACGTTTACGACAACAACAGCAACAAGAACAGTGCGAACGACAACGTCAACGTCAAGAAAGGAACCAACGACGATATGAGCGATGGCAAGAACGCGTAGCTCAATGACAACAGGAACGATATCGACAAGAACAAGAAGAATACGAGCACTATGCATACTTGCAGCGACGCTCACCTAACTTTGACGAACTGATGGATGAGATACTCGGAGAACGAGAGCTGGAAGAGTACTATTTAGAAAGAATGACTCCACAAGACAGACAGGAAGTTTGGGAACAAGAACATTTAAATGAACTACAGGGAAATCCTGCACCTCGAGCGCACGGATTACCACTAGACGATACAGAACGGTATGCAAAATTCCTTCAGGACCAACTGTGGTGGGACGAACACGATCAAGCAATGCGAGTCTACGACATGCAAAACAACGACTATGCAGAACAATGCAGAAGAAACCAGGAATTACTTAGACAAAACGAAGAGTGGGAAGACCTGGCATTCCGTCATCAACAACTCTAAAAAAACAGTTCAAAATCCAATAACCTCACATAGTACCACTGATTTTCCCACATAAATAAAATATTAAAAAATAATACAGCTTTTCCAAAATAAAGTACCTCAAATTCCCCTGAACT